CGAAACCTTGAAGGGTGAATATCTTTCCGTGATTCCCGAGTTAATAGTTCACCCGCCAAAATTTTCACGAGGCCGTAGGTGATACTCAAGAGAGCGGGAACGCTGAATTTGAATGAGCAAGGTTGATTGTGGGCAGGGGGTCATTGCCCTAAAATTTCAGCTTTCTAAACCTAGTGGTTCCCGAAATAATTTACCCGTGAGAAATTTTCACGGGGTCGTAGGTGTTACCCGCGGGTACGAGAAGGCTGAATTTGAATCGGCAAGGCTGAGCGTGGGCAGGGGGTTATTACCCTAAAATTCCAGCCTCCTAGACTACGTGGTTCCCGAGATATTAATTTACCTGTAAAAAACTTTCATGGGGCCGTACGTCTTGCCCGCGGGTACGGAAAGGCTGAATTTAAATTTGCCGTGTCACCCGCTGGTGGGGAACACTACACCAAAATTTCAGCCGCCTAGCTTTTGTGATTCCCGAGTTGAAAGTGCGGGACAAAATGTGGGACACACACACATACACACACATACAACCCCGTGACAATATGCGTTTTGTAACGCTGTTACATAGCACAAAACGCATAAGAAGGCGATGCATCCTGGTTAAATGAGGCTGCCGTAGGCTGCAATGAATGTTGAGTGTGCCTAGGCACATTGCAATTGGACTCACTTCGTCGCTTGATTATTACAATTTATAATGACTAGTTTAAATAATGAAGATATGATAACTAACTATTAAATTACAGTAATAAAAATGGTAAGAATGCAATAAGAAATAGAAAATGAGACCCGAACTGGAATGTTTAAATCGTGATGTTGATCACTTGACTTATTCAGTGCATGAAAAGCACCTGAATTTCGAAATCATGATGATCTGTCCTGTTCAGAAATTATACCTTCAGTCAAAAATTGGGCTTGAGAGCAGGAATTGAGATAAAGTGAAATTTTGAAACTTATGGGTGATAAAAAAGTGAAGTTTCATCTGCGATATACTTTAAATGAAGTTTGTTACAGGTCAAGCTAACTCTGCAGGATACGTTAGGAATGCTTCAAGTGCCATAC